GACAGTGATCCTGTTAAAACCTAAGTACACTCATGTCACCTTTCTGCACAGTACAATCCATTAGCTTCCATTTCACCTGGAATAAAAGCCAAAGTCTTCACGATAGCTTACAAGGCCCCACGGTTTCTGCCACCCTATTGACCTCCTGTTCTGCTCTTCTCAATCTTAACTCGGGCCACTCTAGTCACCAAATCTCCTTGCCGTTCTCCCAATATGTCAGACACGTTCTCCACTCTACGCCTTTGAAGTTTCCTCTACCTTAGATCTGCACATAGCTCTTTCATCCCTTTGTCTTATCTCGGTTGTCAGCTGGCTGTCCAGGCATTCCTCACTTGTATTTAAAAGGAAATCCAGCCGGTGGGGGGATGCACACCCGTAATCCCGGCACTAGGGGAGGCTAAGCGGAAAGCGGGAGCCTAGCATAGGCAATTTGGTGACTCAGCCAAGACCCTGTTGCAAACTAAAAACTGAAAAAGGCTGGGGATGTAGCTCAGGACAAAGGCCCAGTACCAGAACCAAATAAATAAAAATTGGAAAATAAAAATAATAAAACTGCAACCCTCCCCCGACTGCCCCACACCTCCAGTCCTCTTCTCTTCCTTTTTCTCCGTCCCACCCGTCCACATCTTACATCCTAGTGTACTCACTTCTTTATTTTCTACCTCCTGCAGTAGTCTGTTAGCTCCATGAAGGTAGGCATTCTTTTGCTATAGTCTAAGTTCTGGAAAGGTGTTTGACACAGAGTAGGCACTCAGTGCATTCTAGAATAACTAAATGATGAAGGAGCGATTCAACTGCAGTGGTTTGGATATACACGGCCTGGGTGATAGATGTACATTTACTGAAATATTTCTAAGTGCCAAACAGTTTGCAAGTTAAAATCAGTCATCTCGTTAAACTGATGTACACAATCCTAAAAGGCTTATCCTTATTTGGCTACTCCGCCGAATATGAAATATTTAGGTACAAAGCTACAAAATATGTATACAATCTATGATGAAGAAAACTATAAAACTCTGATGAAAGAAATCAAAGAACAAAATAAATGGAGAGATATTCTATGTTCATGGGCAAGAACTCAATACTGTCAAGATGTTGATTCCTCCCAAGTTGATCTTCAGCTTCAGTGCAATCCTAGCCAAAATCCAGCAAGTAGCCAGGAGCACTGGCAGACACCTGTAATCCCAGCACTCTGGAAGACTGAAGCAGAAGGATTATAAATTCAAGTTCACTAGGCAACTTAGCAAGATCTTGTCTCAAACTAAAAGATACTTTAAAAATGAGGCTTGGAGGGTCGGGGATATAGCTCGGTGGCACAGTGCCTGTCTAGCAAGCATGAGGTCCTGAGTTCGATTCCTGATACCAAAACAAAAAAAAAGTGAAATAAAATGAGGCTTGGGATGTAGTTCAGTGGTAAAGTGCCTCCGGGTTTTTTGTTTTGTTTTGTCTTTTTGAGACAGGGTCTCGCTATGCAGTTCAGGCTGGCCTTGAGCTCACTTTGTAGCCCAGGCTGGTCTCAAACTCGCCCACCATCCTCTTGCCTCAGCCTCCCGAGTGCTGGGATTACAGGCGTGCACCACCATGCCCAGCCGTGCCTCTGGGTTTGATCCCCAGTACCACAGGGGCAAAAAAAATCTAGCAAGTTACTTTGTGGATATTAGTTTTAGAAAATGAATCCAAGTTACATGGAGAGCAAAGACCACAACAGCCAACATAGTATTGAGGGAAAAGAAAAATTTGGAGGAACAACATTACCTGATACCAACACTTACTCTAAGGTTACAGTAATTAAGACAGTGTGGGGGCTGGGGATTTAGCTCAGCGGCAAAGCGCCTGCCTGGCAAGCGCAAGGTCGTGAGTTCGGTTCCCGGTACCGGAGAAAAACCAAAAAAAAACCAAAAAAAAAAAACAAGACAGTGTGGTATTGGTAAAAGGATAAACAGATCAATGGGAAAGAATGCAGAGCCCAGAAATTGACCCACATAAATATAACCCAATGATTTTTTTTCAGTACTGGGTATTGAACCCAAGGAGCACTGAGTTATATCCCCAGCCCTTTTAAATTTTTTTATATGTTGAGACACATTCTTGTAAGTTGCCCAGGCTGGCCTCAGTCCTGTGATCCTCCCTCCTCAGCCTCCCGAGCAGCTAGAATTATGGTGGTGCGCACCACCATACTTGGCAGCCAAAAAACATAATAATTTTTGACAAAGGAGCAAAAACAAAAACTGGAGAAAAAACAGGCTTCCAAGAATTGGTGCTTGAGGCTAGAGATACAGCTCAGTGGGAGAGCGTTTACCTAGCATAGGCTAGGCCCTCGGCACCAGAAACACACATGTACACACATACATATGTGCAAAAGAACCAGTGCTTGAATACATATGGACATCCACATGTTAAAAAAAATCAATGTAGATAACAATGTACACAACAATTAACTCAAAATGGATCAATCAAAGAACTAAATGTACACCTGGCGTGGTGGTGTAAGCCTGTAATCCCAACACTTGGGAGGCTGAAGCAGGAGGATTACTGAGAGCTCAAAGTCCACTTGGGCTACAAAGTGAGTTCAAGGCCCCCACTTGGGAGGCTGAGGCAGGAGGGTGGTTGTGAGTTTGAGACCAGCCTGGGCTGCAAAGTGAGTTTAAGGCCAGCCTGAACTGCATAGTGAGACCCTATCTCAATAAATAAGTAAATAAATAAATAAATAATTTTTTAAAAAGCAAAAAAATAAAATAAATGTAAATTGAAAAACTATCCCCCTTCACCATGAAAATGAAAGGTGCTGAGAAGAAAACATGAAGCTTATCACACGTAGTGGTAGAACATAATACAGCCATTTGTGTTATCACAAAGCCCACTTTCCTCACCACACTGACATCATTCTCCTTCCTTGAAAGAACAGTTCCCATCTTTCTAAAAAGACAGCCATGGGCCAGGGATGTAGCTCAGCAGCACAGTGTCTGCCTGGCGAGTGCAAGGTCCTGAGTTCGGTTCCCAGCACCAAAAAAAAAAAAAAAGAGAAAAGAAATGGCAAGTGTCACCTTTCACACCTACTTCTATTTCACAGCAGGGGACCTGGCTTAGGGATCAAGGGGGCACCATGGAGCTCTAATCGAGCAAAGCAATCACTACAACTTGGCTCTTTCTGCAAATTTACATCAAACATTGTTAAAGACACAATATAATAAGCGCTTCTAAAGGATCTTACCATTTTCAGAATTTCATTCACATTTCAACCACTCATGGACTTCATTTGTTTATTCAGATGGGCACCA